AAAAAAAACAAAAAAAANAAAAAAAAAACTTAGGAGCCCGAAGGAGGAAACGGCCCCGACGCCGGCGACGCGCAGGCAGGCAGCCACCCATCGAGAGACTGGCTACACCTAGGTGCCTTACATACCTTAGCTCCGAGGAGCTGTGCGCAGGAGCTCTCATGCGGCCGTCGTATGGAGAGCTTTTTGGTCGGATACGGATGCCGAGGCTTCGTCGCCTTGCAGGGGGAACCAACACGCTCGGCCATTATTGCGCCGAGCAGCTCCTTGGGCGGGCAGGGTGGCAGAGGTGGTCACATGGCGGCGTCGTGTCGCAGGCAGCAGGCAGCAGGCAATTGGGAGTTGTGATTGATTTGTTGCCAAGCAAAAGATCAATGGTGGCCGACATGAAGAGAAGCCCTCCCAAGAGGTAAGAAAAAAAACACATGGACAAGAAAAACGAAAAATCAAGAAAATGAATGTCGCAACATCCCATCCTTCTCGTCGGGAACCTGAGATGCCGTTCTCTTACTGCATGAAGGCCACGCCGTTCGGTTCCCGCATCTCAGCTGCCCTTCGGCCTGGCTCCGGTAGATAAAGGCGCCACACACCCTCCCGGCAAATCCCCAAATCAAATACTGGCTTCCCCCCTCCCCTCCTCCCCGGAGGGAGCCCGCGCAGGGGTTCCCGTCATTTTTTCAGCTGGTTGATTTCGCGGGGCTGAATCGATTGGTCGCCCAAGATTTTGCCAATTACTTTGCGGCGCCGTGGAGGTCGATATCGCTCTGACCGATCCCAGAGGGTGCCCATAAATATTGTAATCTGCGACGAGGATGGTGAGATCATTCGAGTACCGGGGAACCAAAAAGTGAGGCAGGAAAATATAAGGAAGACGGCCTACAGTACATGTTGGGACAATACAGATCCTATGGTCGTTATGTGAGGTGCACTTGTATCTGGGAGTCGCGGTCAGGTGCTGACCCAAGTCGAATACTGTTTGATATCTTGGACGGACTTCGCCTTTCCTCGTCTTCGTCATTCGTGCTCTCGTGTCTAACCGTCCCCGTCGGATGCCCATATGCTCTAGAGCCGCTATTCACAATTAAGGCCATGTTTCCTTCGAGTGCCCCGTTGATACGCAAATCATGTACCCCAAAAGCCGGCCTCTCGCGTGCCGTCAGAAAGGCTCACCGACGGCATCCTGCGCTCAAACCGTTGCATCTTTTCCCCCTTCACCGAAAGCCAAGGCGCATGTATGGGGGGATTGGGGGGCTCTATAAACACAAAAGAAACCAAATTTTCAAGCCACCCTGCGGTCATGTGGTCAAAGTGACAGCCAAGGGGTATCGTTCGTACAAACAGGTCGGAAACGGGGAGGCCTGAGGCCCCTGCTGGAAACGGGAAAAGAAGTTAAAGACAGAATTAGTGGAAATGGCGGTATAATACTAAGACAAATGAATGAGTTAAGCAGTGTCGCTTGTGTGGTGTGTAGTGTTATGCTTGTCGTGGGTCTTGGTTCGTTGTTTGGGAGGCTGAGAATATCTCCTAGGTCCAACCAGGCGACCGTGCCTGATGGCCTTGGCTATCCGCGCAGCTCCTAAACTCGTCGATTCATAGCCGCCGTCGCGCCCGCCGCCGCCAGGTCCTGCTTGGCACTAGCGGAACGACCTGCTGCTCGGGGCAGGTTACTCGTTCCCATGAGGGTCCCCGTGCCGGTGCTGACGCGCTTCGCCGTCGCCGAGATGGTGCTAGCATTCGACATGTTGGATACGCGTCGCCCGCCCCCGGACACGCTTGCCGACTTGTGGGGGCTGGCGCCGACCAGGTCTCGGGCTCGTGGCCCCAAGCCGCCCTTGAGGCCAGCTCCGGGAGGGTCCGGGAGTGGTCGTGGGACCGAGATGGTGTTGTGGCGCTTGATGGGAGATCCGTCCCGCGAGGCGGCTATGCGAGGCACGGGCATCGACGCCTTCACGCCCGTGATGAACTCGTGTCGGATAGCCTCCTCGGGCTTCAGCCGGCGGTCCGGGTCCCAGCGTAGGCACCTAGCGAGGAAGTCGAGGAAGGGTTCGTCATCGCACTTCAAGACCTGCTGCAGCGTCTTGGAGGACGGCCGTCTCCTGCGTCCTTTTGATGACACGGTCAGGCGGGGCTTGCCCATCGAGTCAAAGAAGAGCTTCTTGCGCGTGCTCTTTTCGATGAGGTGCTTCTCTGGCGGGCCAAAGACTTCCATAATGCAAGCCAGCTGCTCCTGTTCGTTCTCACCAGGGAAGATGGGCACTCCTGTGTACAGCTCCGCCAAGATACATCCCACACTCCACATGTCGATGGGCATGCCATACGTCATGCCGAGGATCACCTCGGGTGATCGGTAGAAGCGGGACTGGATGTACGTGTACACCTTTTCGTTTTCGAAGCAGCTGGAGCCAAAGTCGATGACCTTGATCTCGGAATGCATGGGGTGGTGCAGGAGGATGTTCTCGGGCTTGAGATCGCAGTGAATGACGCGGTGCTGCTTCAGGAGGTTCAGAGAGCTCAGCATCTGTTTCGTGAAGCGGCGAATGAGTTTCAGAGAGAAGCCTCGGAAAGCGTTCGCCTTGATAAACTCGTAGAGATTCATATCCAAAAGTTCGGTTGAAATGCAAAGATGGCCGCGGAAGTAGAAGCTATGGGTGAAGTTGACCATGCTGTGCCGGTTTTTGGGGTCCTGTTCCAGAGGTTAGACAAATCACACCTAAAATATAATGGCCGGCGCCGGGGCCCCGAAAGCGACTTACCCATTCCCTGAGCTTCTGCAGAATGTTGACCTCCACAAGAGCTTGCTGGTGGAACCTTTTCTTATTGCGGATGATCTTGACAGCGACCAGCACGCCCGTCTTGTGGTCGATGCACCTGACGACTTGGCCGAAGCTGCCTTTGCCCAGCACATCGATGATTTCGTACCGATAAGCAAGGTGGTCGCCGGGGACAATTGTGTAATCTCCACGCTCGTCATCGTAGCCGAAGTTGGGAACGGACGACTTCAGGTCACCGACGACCTTGGCCGCGTTCTGGGTACCGCAGAAGTAAATGTCATTGTAGTCCACAATCTCCCCGCGTTCGTAGATATTCAGCATGGCGATCCGAATGGCATCCTGAGGGCTCACCCGCTCCTTGGGGCTGGCCCTCTTGCGCAGAGCATCCAGCGTCTTGGCGGCGAGCTCTGTTTCCTTGCGCCTTGAGCCGAACCTCCTCATCTCCTCCTCCGCGATCATGTCGTCCTTGTCCAGGTCTGCGGTCCAACCATCATGATGTCGCTGAGTTTGGGCCGCCAGCTTGGGCTTGAGAATCTTGTGCATGACAGATGCGCTATGTGAGAGAGGCGGGCGCTCCGTGATTGGCTGGCCGTTGATGTCCTTCTTGGCGTTCCAGGCATCGGCACGCGCACCCTGTGCCACGATGATATTGAGACTCGAGGCGGAGCTCTTCCGTCGCCTGGTGTCGAGGTACGTGGTGCCCCCAATGGGTTTAGCCAGGGAGCTCGGGCTCGGAGGCTTGGATGCGAGTTGACTCGTGGTCGAGGACTTCGGGAGGCGAGGTGGGGGCATGGCGTCGTGCTTATCGGCGGTCTTGTCGGCCGTCGGATGACTCCCGCTGGCCTTGGACGTGCTTCGCTTCCAGGAGAGGCTCAGTTTTCGGCGGAGCGAGGTCATGGAGCCTGGAGTCGGGGGCTCCTCTGGGCTAGACAACGGCGGAGGCGATTTTGGAGGGCGGGGCTTGGAAACGACAGGGGCCCGGGGGCCAGAGGGCCGTTGCTGCGCAATGGTAGTGCCCGTTCCCATGTCGGAGCTGGATATGAAACTACTGCCTGTCTTGGACCTCTTCAGAAACCCAGTGCCATCGGCACCACCTTTGGGCAGAGAAGACGAGAGGAACGGAGACACGGTCGGCTTCTGCGGGGGCTGTCGGATGTTTATGGCGCTCACAGACTCGGTAGAGCTCGTCGTGAGAGTGTGCGAAGGGCTGTCCCTGAGGCGATGAATGGAGCTGCTACTTCTGAGACTTGCCACCTCAGTCTTGTCCGCTCGATGTCTCGAGAAGAAGGAGCTCTTCGAGGCGGTCATGGGGGTCGTCGGGGTTTTGGAACTTTGCCTCATTGGCGGAGGGCTGTCAACACTTAGGTTGTGACTCGAAGAGGCTTGCTCCTGCAACGCAGCAATTTTGGCTGCTGTGGGCCCACTCAGTGGCCCAAGAGTGATCGGAGGTAAACTCATCGGCTGGGCGCTCTTCTTCGGTTGGGCAACGTTACCCTTCTTGTCGAGATCGAGTGTGATGTTCTGGTTGCTAGACTTGCGGGTGCTGGTTTTCCGCTGGACGCGCGCCATGGACTCTAGTGTAGGGTATACAGAAAGGCTGCCAGTCGATGTGCTATGGATACTGCTCGCGTCGAAAGCCATGTTCGATTTCCGCTTGTCCAAAAACGACATCTCAGCCGGCGACTCCTTGGGTGATTCATACGCCTTGGGGATGGCGGGGACCGGGGGCACATCCTCCTCATCGTCGTGGCTCGGGGGATTGTGAATGCTCAGCGACTTCGGGGCAGGGAGCCGGGAGCCGCTGGACTGCACCATGCCACGCTGAACGGAGCCAGCCGAGGTACGGACTGTGTTGAAGCTGGCACCAGAGGCCACCGATAGGCCGGAGCTGTAAGACTTCCTGTTCGGGTCTGGTGTCGTTCGTGAGGACGAGGGAGTTGAAGTTTTGCGCGGAGCCGTAGACGGCGACCTGGAGACGGCGCGAATGTCTGGGACAGAGGGGGACTGCACAACTGTGACCTGGGGATTTCCGCTTGGTACTAGGCCCTTGGTGGACATCCGCTTCATCCTACGCGTGTCCGTGGGGCTGATCGTCCGAGCACCGAGCCCGGTCGCGTGGCCGGTGCCTGGCATGACTGATGCACGTTTGGCTGAGCCAGCACCGATCAGCCTGGGCGATCGAGGCATGCCGGCCGCTGACTTGGCCTGGTCGGACCCCAAGAAACTGCTGTCATCAGCAGCAAGAGTGCTCTGGCTCACCCTCGGGGGCGGCCCCACGGACTTTGCCTTGGATGCTCTCGACGAGTTCAGGCCGCGGGCGGGCTCGCCAAAAATAAGACGGCTACCGCCGTCTATCGAGGAGCGGGACGAGTCCGCGATGGCCCGGCTTGTTTCGGCGTTGGATGCCACACTAGGGCGTCGGCGTGGCGGGTTTCTCGTTGCATAGTCGCTATCGAGGATCCCCGGCCCAACGGACTTCCTGGGCGGTTTCCCAATGTTTGTGTTGGACACAGGCGGATAGTGGCTCTGGCGACGAGCTCGCATGGCGGCAGGGGCGGTGGGGGCATCGGCGATCGAGGGTCCGGCGCCATTGGTGGGAGCGGCGGCCGGCCTGCTCGAGGTGCTCGGCCGTCGGAGAATGGATCCCGACCTCGAGGGCCGAGTCGAAGGCTGCTGGACTTGCGACTGGGACTGGATCGGGTTCTGGACGCTGGTGGCGGTGCCGCCGTGGGCGATGTTGCTCTTTTCCGGGGGCATCTTGTCGCCCATGCCCTGATCGTCAAGAATGAATCCCCGGCCGGTTGGAGATGGGAACTGGGTCAGCTTGAAGTCGGACTCCAAGCTGCTCTGCAAGTCATCGAAGTTGACCTGGGGCAGGAAATCGAAAGAGGCCGGTGTTTGGTCGGTCACGTCGGTCGGAGGCTGCGCGGCGGCGCCATTCCTCCCGAACGAAAACAGAGAGTGGTTGTTGGAAGACGAGGCACTGAGCATCTGACCGTCGGATGGGGCACGCCGGTGCGGGCCCTGTTTTGACGGGCTGGTGCTTCCGCTATTTCTGCAGATGCGGGCATGTTAGGCAGGCACAAAGATGGATTCGGCTGCTCGCTTCGGCGCTGGGGACAGGCTGTTGTGCGTGAAAGCGTCGTTGTCGTGGGCCGGAAACGCGGTGATGGGCCAACCGCCGGCTTTGTTCTATTGTTGCGTTTCCGAATCGAATGGCTGCCTCGGCGACAACAGAAACAAGGGGCACGGCCACAGATATCAAAGATGAACATACCTTGTCGGAGATGGGTCTGCCGGTCGGTGGCCAGCAGAAGCATTCAAGTCCTGAAGCATAGAGCGGAGGAGGGTGGAGGATTGGGGCTTCCTCGAGATGGGGTGTCGACCGAGGCGGCGAGGGCCGGAGGAGGGCGCCTCAATTGAAGAGTCGCCGTCCCTGGCTCGAGGCTACCTCATTCCGGGAAAAGCGGTGGAGGCAGAGGGGCGACGGGAAAAAACAGGGTGTCGAGATCGCGGCGACAGGCGTGTCTGGGCGTCGGTCGGGAGGGTGACTGCGTGATGCGAGCTTCACCTTCTCTCTCTCTCGCTCTCTCTCCGTCTCTCGCAAACACAGTGACGCAGGAAACGCACCGAGTGTTTGGGGGTTACGTCGAGGTGAGGGAGAGGAAGGGTCTGGCGGCGGGAGACAGTTTGAGGTTGAGGACCCCCAGGGAACGGCTCCGCACACGAGGTGGTCGTAATTTGTCGCTAGATTTGTTTTCGGCCAGCGGGCGGGCCTGGCTCAGGAGGCACGAATAAGTGCCTGGGCCTGATGGCAGGTGTCAGCCGGGCGGGCAAGCGGCTGGCTTGCGGGTGCTGGTTGCGAGGACAAAAAGGATGGGGCCTGGGCAGGGGGTGGAGTGGAGCACGCCCTTTTTCTCGCAGTGGCTACCGGTACCTGATCACCGTCGGCCTGGACAACGACAAGCCAACAACAAAGCACACCTGCATCTACACGCACCTTTCTGCTTGGCGTCGACCTGTGGGTGAGTCGAGGCGCCCGCACGATTCCGAAACGGAGAGATCGCAATTCGACGTCAGCTACGCCAGTGCCCGGGTGGCAGGCTACTTCAAT